TATTTCATTTCTATTTATTTATTTTTATTATCTTGTTGTGTACCATAGAGTCACAACTGACCCATAACTGACTCTCTGGTGGGTTTTCAAAGGCAATAATTGTGCGGGAGGAAATTGCCCATCCTCTTGCAGAGCAACTGGTGGCCTCAAACCATGTGCCTTTGGCATTGTACTACAGCTTCTTGCCACTATGTCACCAGAGCTTCGAGTTTTCACTTTTACGTTGAACTCTGTGCATTTTGAACGAATGAAATAATTTTTTGAGATTTGAAAATTTAAACGTAAGAGGTAATAGAGTAGCAATTTGAGTATTTTGATAATTTTAAATTTGTATTTTTAAGTACACTGAATTTTATTGAACTTTTTTTTTTTTTTTTACAAAAAATAACCATGTGGTTTGTTGGTTGGTTGCTTAGTTGGTTGCTTGCTTGTTTTTCCAACAAAGACATGTAATGAAACTGATGAGATTTTTCTCCTGCATTTTAGAAAAGAAAGATGATTTTGACTGGGGAAAATACTTACTAGAAGGTGAAGAAATTGACTTTGTTCTTAGTGCAGACTCACCAGTAAGTGAGAGTAGTTTTATTATTCAAAATATAAATATCTGCAAAGTGACATGTAGAAGAATGTTCTGAAACAAGTGAATCTTGTGTGTGGTTTGTTCTTAGCTAAAACAGGAAAACCCTTCAATAAACTAGAATAATTCATTATGAAAGACTTATTAAGATTTTATACCAAATTATAGTACTAGAAAGTTGGGAAGGCTGAATATAACAATCTTTTAAGAACCTGTAAATCTAAAAAAAAAAACAATCTGTAAATCTTGAGAATTTTTGTCCCTTATTTTTACTTTTCTTCTGAAATTTTCCTAATTTTCTTAAATAGCATCAATTTTTATATTCTAAAGATAAATTATGTTTTTTTTAATCAGAATTGGTCTGAAGAAAGTGAAAGTGAGGATGAGCAACAGCCCTTAAGCAGAGAAGACTCTGGGATCCAGGTCGACAGGACACCGTTAGAAGAACAAGATCGAAATAGAAAACCAGATCTTCATGCCATCTGTGAAGGTAGTCTCTGTTCTTGGATAATAACATCAATATAAAATAGAAGGATTACCTAGAAGGAAAGCGTGTTATTAGACCCAGTTCCATGTTGATTAGCCTTTTTATACTGATCAACTTTATGGTGTTGTTGATGTTAGGTTCCTTTAAGTAAAATAGAAAACATAGCAACCTCTTGAGCAATAGATGTGAACCCTTGCCCTATCCTGTGACCTCCATACCATTTCTGAAATGTTTGAGCACATTTTTACAATCAATCATATTTGTTTTGGGTTGTTGGGTTTTTTTCCTTATTTGTGGTTATTTTCCTCTTCAGTAAATATTTACAAATGAATTATGCAATATCAGAGACAGGGCTAAAATAGTTTAAAAGAGTGTTGTGAATTTTAACCAAAAGCACTTTTGAAATGAAAAACACTACTTCCCAGGTTTTTATATATATTTTTAATATTGGTTTGTGTATTCATTGTGTTTGTTCTATTCAAGTTTCTATTCATTGTGTTTCACACTATTCTTCATTCACATTGTGTTTTATACAGTCATTCCCGTTCATTATGGGATTTTTAAAAATTATTATAATTTCTTTTTTTGTAATTTTTTAAATTTTAATAATTTTAATGAACATTTACAGAGATTTTGGATTTCCATTCACTCATTGCTGCACTTCTCTCCCTGCCTAGCCCCCTCCCCCAGGTTCGCTCCTCTCTTTGAAAAGTAAAAGAAATACTCCCTGCCTGGTACACAATCCCCCGCCCCGTACCCCTCCCACCAGCCCAAGTACATTCCACTATGCAACCTTAATTGTGGACTCTTGTGATAACTATAATACCCTATCATATATTGCTTTTAAATTATTCACTCCCTCATCTGTTTCAATGCAGTATACACAATTTATCCAGTTTCTCTCAGTCCTACCCCAGCCGTGCTATCAGTCCCATTTTACAGCAGTGGCACCGTGCAGTATTTGTCCTTTTGCGACTGAGATATTTCACTCAGTATAATGTCCTCCAGGGTAACCCATTTTGAATAATAGTTGCATGAGTTCCTTGTTTTTCAGTGCAACATAATATTCCATTGTGTGAATATACCACAGCTTCTCTGTCTCTTCATTTGTTGATGGGCACCTGGGTTGTTTCCAACCCCTTGCTATTGTGAGTGGATGTCAGTTCTGGTCTTTTTGGGATATATTCCCAGTAGTGGAATTGCAGGTCAAATGTTATCTCTATTTGCAACTTTTTGAGAAAACACCATACTGTCTTCCAAAGGGGGTGCACCATTTTACACTCCCACCAACACTGAATAAGGGTTCCAGTTCCTCCACAACCTTGCCAGCATTTGTTGCTTGCTGTTCTGTTAAATTTTGCTATTCTGACTGGAGTGAGATGATACCTCATAGTTGTTTTGATTTGCATCTCTCGTAGGGCTAGGGATTTTGAACATTTCTTCAAGTGTCTGTTGGTCATCTGAATATCTTCTTTGGTGAACTATCTGTTCATATTCTGTGTCCATTTTTCAATTGGGTTGTTTTTATCTTGTGGTGCTCAGGTATTTTATAAATTCTGGATAGAAGTCCCTTATCTGACATGTCATTCCCAAATACTTTTTTCCCAGTCTGTGACTTCCCTTTTTGCCCTGTTGGAGAAGTTTTAGGATGTGCTTAGGGATTTGATTCTTAGAAGGTCCCATTCATCTATTTTATCTTCTCCTGGTTGTAGATTTTTCAGGATACTTGGAAGACTGTTTATGTTGTGGTAGAACTACTAGAGTTCTTCCAAGCTTTTCTTTAATAAAGTTTATAGTCCTTGGTTTTTTAGTCCCAGATGAATGATCCACCTTGAGTTGGTTTTTGTATATGGAGTGAGGTGTGGATCTTGCTTGAGTCTTCTGCAGATATTTTCCAATTTTGCCAACACCATTTGTTAAAAAGACTGCCGTTTCCCCACTTAACTGATTTCATCTTCTTTTCAAAAATCAGTTCACCATAGATAGATGGGCTGATTTCTGGGTTCTCCATTCTATTCCATTGATCTATGTGTCTGTCACTATACCAGTACCATGCTGTCTTAACTACCACAGCAGTGTAGTAGGATTTGAAATCAGGGAGTGAGATGTCTCCTACGTTTCTTCTATTTTTAAGGAGTGTTTTGCTTATTTGGGGCTTCTTTCCATTCCAAATGAAATTGGACGATACCTTTTCCATTTCATTGAAGAATGGGATTGGTATTTTTATTGGGATTGCGTTGAACGTGTAATTTGCCTTTGGTAGTATTGCCATTAGAACATTCACATTAAGACAGACAAGGAAGAAGGATTGGCCATCCACTTGCCTCTGACAACCCTGTGTACAACAGAACACATGTAGATAACAGAAAAGGTAAAAGGAGGTTGAGTTTTCAAGTATGGAAATACAAAGGAAGGGAACAGTTGTAAGCAGAC